AACAAGTTTATCATTTTATTTCTCTTAGTTCTTATGTTAAAAACCATTTGAGAGCAATGGTAAAAAACTTTTTGAAAGACAAGTTACAAGCTCAAAAACTTTGATTTTAACTTAAAAAAACCAATTTTTGCAAGTTCTAGTTGAAAAACGCATGTCCTAGATAAAATGTTTTAAGGTTGGATCTTGTATGTTGAACTCATTTTTGCAAGTTCTTGACAGCATGGTCATGTAAACTAAAGTTCAAGAATAGCCTGAAGTTTTGTTATACTTAAACACAAACATCAAAATGATACATGCGAGTTTTAGGGCTCTAGAATGTAGATTGATTTTGTACAAGTACAACACTGCGAGTTTCAGAAGTGAAACATGAGAGAAGTAGATTGGCAAAGAAGACCATAATTTTAGACTTCTAATCTCACATGTTTAAGAAATCTTGCTTACAAAAATGAGTGCACCATTTTTAAATATTGAATGAGGATATTACACCACAAAAACTTTAAGATATCATATACTTCTATGTGAGTGGTTGAGGGCAAAATTGTCATTTAAACACTTTTTTTTAAAAAATAAGTACATCTGTTCTTCTATTGGGTGGCAATCATATGTGAAGAATAGTCAAATATTAAGGTCTCGTTTAGTTACTAGAAAGAAATGAATTGGATTAAAAAATAAATATAAAAATAAGATGATCAAATTGTAGAGAAGGATAGGTGAACCTTAATTATAAGGGAGAATAGTAATTTACTTAATGGGACTCTGATTCATGATTCATGAGATTTTTAAAAAGTATAATTCTCACATTTGTGATATATAGTATTAAGTTTTATCATGTTTATCACAACAGGAAATGATGATTTAATTTATTTTTATTTTAACTTTTTCAATCCATTTCATTCTTATCTTTTTTAGCAATCAAATGAGAGCTAAATGTAGGGACTTTTTTTTAGTAATAATTATAATATTAATTCAACATATCGTGAGAAGTTAACTTCTTTTACCATACCAAACTTTTGTTGGTGCCTTTAACCCTCTTTTTTATCATGACCCTCTAGAAGGTACCTAAAATTTCATGAGGGAAAAAAGCAATAAGGGTAGGTTTTGGTAAAAAAAAAAAAAAACTAAATGAATCAACTTTTAAATTTTCACAAATATATTTATTTATATTTAATATTCAATCATGTCTTATATAGGATTACATTCAATATAAAGATATTTGTAAGCATAACAAAAGAATTTGATGAAAAAATAATAAGAATTTAGCAGAAATGTGCAAGGATTAAATAATAATCGATAATTTTAAAAGTTATTTCTTAACTAAAAATGAAAGGAGGGGGGGGGGGGGGAATTTCCGAAGGGGGTTGGAGAAGTGAAGAAACAAATTGAATCAAACTAAAGATCAGACCCAAGTCTCTCGCCTGAAAGGAGGCTGGGAGAGAGGCAGTGGATCGACTGTTACTCACACTGCACACTCCCTCCTTTTTCGGCACTGGTAAATTGCTACTTCTTCTCCGTCCACTTCAATGCCACTTTCTTCACCAATGTCTCTTTTAATCTTTTTTCATTTCTCTCTCTGCTTCTAGAACTTCGCTGCGAACTCTGAGCTTGTTTCATGGAACAGGTTAGTGTAATGTACTGGACTTTGAGTTCAATTTTGAGTTTCTCTTTGAATATCTGCCGATTCTATCTCTATTTTTAATGATTTTGAAGTACGAGAAAGTCGAGAAGATAGGTGAAGGCACCTATGGTGTGGTTTACAAGGCTCGTGATCGTGTCACGAATCAGACCATAGCTTTGAAGAAAATTCGATTGGAGCAGGAAGATGAGGGAGTGCCTAGCACTGCGATTCGAGAGATTTCGCTCTTGAAAGAAATGCAGCATCGGAATATTGTTAGGTATACTTGCGTCTTTGAGTCTGGTTAATTGCACTAATTCATTTTGATCCTTGAGATAGTTCTTATTTTAGTATACTTACAACTTACATGATTTTTTTATTAAGTGATAATCTGTTCTTTTACTTTAATGCACTGGTTGTCGATCATGACATTGATGCGTTAGCAAGAAATCTTTGTCTGGAGGCAGAAACTAAAATTGGAAATCTTCAAAGTGAACCTGATCATGATAATCCTTTCTAGGGTGTCTCTAATGAAGCAATACTGCCGCAATTAAGAATTCAGCCAGTACTTCCATTATAATCATAGATAGTATTATTCATTAGCATTATTTATGCTGATACTTAATGTGGCTATCAATATTTTTCTTTTACAATTGTTTGAATCATACTTATAATTTGGTATTCATCTTCTCAACTTCTGATAACCTGTTTCCGATTTGGCCTGCTGGTGAAGCTGTTTGAAAATATCATTTTAGTCTGTACTGTTGGGAAATGTTCATTTAGATTGCAGTGGTTGCAAACATGATATTTTAATTGCTAAGTTCATCATTATGTTGTCAAAGTGGTTATAAAGTACCAATATTTGAAGGCTGAGCCTTTTTGTGTGCAATGCATATCTGACACTCAGATATGACATGGCACTTAATGTTTAAATTAAACACTATATATCTTGTTGTGTTTCAGTGTTTGTTATGGGACTCTTGAATTGTTGGATTTATATTAGTATTGGTCTCTTGTCAAATGTGTTCATCCCACTATGATGACCCCCTTTAAGAGACAGAATACGATGTGGGTTGTTTTGAAGGCTTTATGGAAGACATACTTGTAGAATGTTATGATGTGCTATAAAAAATAATTTGTGAGTGGCCCAATTGGACTCTTAAACATTCTCCATATAAATTTTCCTCTTAAATTTGTTATTTCACCAAATTTCTGTCCCATTGTTCTTCTACCTTTTTAGCCATATCCATATGGCATATGCTTGATGGCTATGTGAATGACAGGTTACAGGATGTAGTACACAGTGAGAAGCGTTTGTATCTGGTTTTTGAGTACCTGGACTTGGATCTGAAGAAGCACATGGATTCATCTCCTGATTTTGCAAAAGATCATCGACAAATAAAAGTGTGTAAATGCTTTCTTATGTTTGGAGGTGTTTTACTTGTGCAACTAAATATATGATTACCTTGATTATAGGTTTGGAACTCACTTGAAAAATGACAATGCTATATAATGCTTTATCAAGGAAATGTAATCAGCTAGAAACTTTGTAGCTGTCAATTCTTTTCTCTTGTCTTTCCATAAATCGAATTAAGGGGAAAATGAGTGATTTTATAAAATACTTTTACAGTTGCGGCAAGCATATTTCTGCTTTTCTAAATGCAGGTCTGTCCTTATTAATACATGCTTCACCAGTTTCATGATAGATGACTCAGTAGATAAGCTAAGCATATCTCTGCATTTCAAAACACATGTCCATCTTGATTAATTGATGCTTCATGTGAAATTGGTTGCAGAATCCTGTAGCTGTGGCTTGTTAGAGGAAGTAGTAGCTACTATTAAGTTATTAAGTTGCTACATATTGTCAAGGTGTTCCTATCTGGATACATTTTCATTTTTTGAACTGGGTGCTTCATGTACCTGTAATAGTGTAGATATATTTTCATCTTCAAATGTGAGTGCAGCATATAAGTTTCTAATCTGGACTCTAGATATTTTTGCATTCAAATTTAGTGTTAATTGGAATAAGCTGTAGCTTGTATCATCTTAAGCTAATGGGGAGAGTTCAAAAGCAGCATCATCATCTAGATGACTGGGATTGACATATCCAGAGTTTTAATTCATTATTAATTAGTACCGTATCTTGCGGTTAATATCTTCTTCAATCAATTTTTTATAAAGAAAAGGAGAGACTGCTATACAGCAAGTGTCTGTGTGTGTGTTTTTTTCTTTTTTCCTTTTTTTTTTGGGGGGGGGAGGGGGAAGTCAAGCCTCTTCATTCACCATCTGTTTTTATTGACAATAATCAAATACCACCACTTAGACGCCTGGGAAATTGCCAAACCCACTGTGCAATTTAGCAGGTTATTCATTTCGTTTTCAAGTCTCAGATTCAGCATTGGAAAGTGTATTTCTAGAATAAACTGTATAAATTAGAGTTCTGAAGGATTAAAGAGGTTTGAACATGATCTATTGTCTTTTTATCTATGGTTTAGTAGTTTATTGGCCCAAGTCTTTTAGTAATCGATTGCTGCTTCCTCTTGAAGTATCTTTTATAGCTAAGGTCTATTATTTTCATAATCACTATATGTAGGTAGGTATGAAGTGCAGCAGTGAGTGTTTCAATTTAGCCATTAAATTCTTCAATCCAGACGTTTGCTGTAATCTTCAACTCATAGCAAGTTTTTCAAATATTATCTCATGGAATTGACTAGAAAAGAGTTTCACTCATCACTAAAAGTATTCAGTTTGGAAGTCCTAGCTGCATGACATTAAAGAGGCCAGAATTTATATAGCTATCATTGTTTAAATTCTTTCTGGATTCCCTTCCTGTCTCCTGATCCCTAATCAATGATTTAGTTGATTTCGAGCAGTTTTTCATTACTTGTGGCTCCAAATAATATAATTTCCTTAGACACTGTTTGTAGGCTTAACCATGATTTAAACATCTCTAGATTAACATGAATCGCTGTTATGAAGTATTCATAGTGAAGTCAAAAATAAAAATACTAATCCTCACCTGAAGGACTAATTCAATTGAAATTTGATTGGGTTAATCATTTATTCTGCAGATGTTTCTTTATCAAATTCTCTGTGGCATTGCTTACTGTCACTCACATAGAGTTCTTCATCGAGACTTGAAACCACAGAATTTGTTGATAGATCGCAGCACTAATTCACTAAAGCTTGCAGATTTTGGATTGGCCAGGGCATTTGGTATTCCTGTCAAGACATTTACACATGAGGTTGGACTATGTCCTACCTTATCTATGCTTTTATTCATCTATGGAATTTACAATATTAAAATGGATAGGCACTATGATGTGGAATGAGTAGAATGTGCACATCATTTTACCGTTGTGTTATCTATTGTTCAGGTACATTGCCTTAAGAAATTTTGTCAGAGAAAGAACTCTCTTAAGAGATAAGAATAAGATAAATCCTATATCAAATATACAAGGAGAAAAGTGACCTATATCTAGTCAAAACCTGTAAAGTGTAGTGCTGAAAAGTAACTTAAAGAGGTGAATCAAAATTCCCAACAAGGCATTGTTCATGCTGTCACCTTGCAAATGTCAAAAGGGTGATTATCTGTCTTGCAGCTCCAGAACTTAATGAGAATATTGAGAGCAATAATCTCGTAAGGATAACTGTTAGACTTGCTAATTGTTGGACAGCTTGTTGTAAATAATGGGGTGGGAAGCTTGTTGAAAGGTGGAATGGAATTAGAAGCAGATTGTAGAGGGCTTAATTGGCTTGTGGCTGAGATATTGAAAGGGGGATGGGTGATCAAACTTTAAGTTAAACTAAGTTGGTGTGTTTTGAAGTTTGGTTGTAGAGATTTCTCACTTTTGAGCTGGGCTGGACTCAGAATCAAAGGGAGGAAGGGCATGAGTGGAACTAAAATTCAAAACGAAGCAAATTCAAGTCCGTGATTCATTAACTCAGTTGTGTAATGTCAAACGCTTAGAACAGTAGGAATAAAGCAAACAAATCTATTAAGTTAACTAGAGCAAGAATGTCACCCTAATGAACTCAAAAGCCAAAGTAGGAGAATCTCCAATGGATAAAAGGTTATTTTATTTCTCAATGTGACTAGCCATATTGAGAGCTAGCCTATTTATAATACCGAAATTACATCAGAATAATAAATAAATAATCAGGAAATACCCCAAAATATCTGGGAAGACTCAAAACTGACTCACAATTGACTTGGATGTGGATGGACCGCTTAACAACTGTTGGTCCACTTAGTTATCTAACTGACACTCAGAAAATGTAACAAATAATCAAAAATTAATTCAAATCTGCATAACTTACTCTAAGTTCCTCCTCTTTCTTCTCTGATAAGTCAAATACTCCCCCTTGAATTGAGTGACCACCAAATCATAATCCTCCCAGCTAACATTCAAGTGGGTGGTGTTCCCACTGAATTAAAATTTCCAAAATACCTTCAGGTTTCCAGTGATGGTTCAGCACCTTTATTGTAGAAAAGGTTGAGCTCCAAGTCTGAAGAAAGTGGTAAAGGTGCTGGTGGGGAGGATGGTTGTAGTCCAAGAGCTGCTCGAAGGAGGGAGACATGAAAAATAGGATGAACCTTAGACTCTGGAGGCAATTCAATTAGGGCCAAAAAAGTCAGGGGGCAGTTTTCATACTTACGCTTAGCCAAGGACTTTTGGCGATAGGGTTGAAGATGAAGAAAAACTGCATCCCCTGGTTCAAATTGTAGGTCTTGCCTATGCTAATCAGCCTGAGCTTTCCTCCTATCTTGTGCTTTCTTCGAGTTATCATGTAGCACATTGAGTTTTGTATCAAGCAGCTCTAATTGCTCCTCTAAGTCTGCAACTAATGTTTCTCCTCTTAGAAGGGGCATAAAGGAGGAGGATGACATCCATATACTAGTTTAAAAGGGGTTGTGTTGGCTGAAGAGTGAAAACTGGTATTAAATGAGAATTCTGCCCAGCAAAGAAATTTACTCCACAATTTATGTTGCACATGAGCACAGCAATGTAAATAGGTCTCCAAGTAGTGATTCACCCCTTCGGTTTGTCCATCAGATTGTTGGTGGTATGTTGTACTCATATTTGAGCAGGTTTGGCTCAAAAGGAAGAGTTCTTGCCAAAAAGCACTTAAAAAGATAGAGTCCCAATCTGAAGTAATAGATTGGGGCATGCCATGTAATCTTGCAATCTCCTTACAAAACAGAGCAACCATAGATTTGGCCGTAAAAGGATGAGACAAGAGGATGAAGTGGCTGCACTTAGACAATCAACAATTACCAAATTGGTGTCATAACCTCCAGATTTAGGGAGCCTAGTGATGAAATCCGTTGATATTTCTTCCCAAATCTACTTAGGAATTGGTAATGGTTGGAGAAGACCAGCAGGAACCAAGGGTGGGTACTTGTTTTGTTGACAAGTTAGACATTGTTGCACAATATTCATTACATCTGTTTTCATGCCACACCAATGTAAATGAGCACCAAGGCATTTTAGGATTTGGAGATAGCTTGCCATGACCAACCGTGAGAGTAGAGTGTGCTTCCTCTAGTAACCTAGTTCGAAGTGCGGCTTGCTTAGGAATAACAGGCCTAACTTTGAGGAATAACTTCTCATTAACAAAACTGTACTGTGGATGAGATTGATGATTTTGCTGCAATTCCTCAATAATATGCGTAGTTTCAGGATCTTCCAGTGATGCCTCAGGTAATTGTTGAAGATCATCTACCAATGGTATGACCGTATGAAAGAAATCTGAGTGTTGATGCCTTCAAGACAAAGAAGCAGCAGCTATGTTTTTCCTTTTCAGGCCTATACATAATGGTGAAATTGAATGGGAGGAGTTTGATCATGAGTCTTTGCTGGGAATTAGTTAGTGTATGCTGCTCCAGTAAGTGCTTGAGGCTGCAATGATCAGTTTGGATGTAGAAGTGATGACCTAGAAGGTAATGGTGCCATTTTTGTAAAGCATGAACTGCAGCTAACAGCTCTCGATCATAAGCAGATTTAAATCTTTTGGATAGGGAGAAACCCTTACTGAAATATGCTATGGGGTGGCCATCTTGCATAAGTATAGCTCTTATGCCATCCATGGAGGCATCACATTCAACTGTAATTGAGTGGTGGAAGTCCAGTAATTGTGACACTGGGGTAGTGGTCAAAGCAAGCTTTAAATCTTCACGAGCACCCTGTGCCTGATCAGACCAACAAAAAGTGTTTTTCTTTGTTAGATTAATGAGAGGTTGAGCAATAATACCATAGTTTTTGACAAATCGATGGTAGTAGTCAGTGAGACCCAAGAAATCCTGAAGATCTTTCATTGATTTCCTAGTTGGCCAACTAGAAACAGCAGCAATTTTCTCTGAATTGACCTACCATAGCTAGGTCGTTGCCCGTAAGTAACGCGCTGCATGGCTCGAGTACAGTGATAAGTGAGTTAGAGCCGCTGCATCGGCGCCCGGATGTAGTGTTAAATGAGCAAGGGCTACCGCGTCATTCTGGACGCACGCGGCTAAAGAAGTTAGTCCATAAGAGCAAAATTAGATTTGGTACTTGGAATGTTGGGACATTAAATTGTAAATCTGTAGAGGTTGTAGGGGTTATGATTCAAAGGAAAATCAATATCCTTTGCTTGCAAGAAACAAAATGGCGTGGAGAAGAAGCTAAGGATATTCAAGGTTTCAAACTTTGGTATACAGGAAAAGTAAGTGCACGCAATGGAGTAGGCATCATTATAGATAAGGAGTGGAAGAAGAACGTTGTAGAAGTTAGCAGAATTGGAGACAGAATTATTTCTTTAAAAATGATAATTGGACGTGAGACTGTTAATATTGTTAGCGCTTATGCGCCGCAAGTCGGGACAGAAGCCAGTCTTAAGGAATTATTTTGGGAGGATCTGGAGGGGTTGATTCGACACATACCACAGAGTGAAAAGATTTTTATTGGAGGAGACTTTAATGGGCATGTCGGGAGGGAAGCTGGTCAGTATGCGAGGGTGCATGGTGGTTTTGGTTTTGGAGAGCTAAACAATGAAGGGCAAACTCTTCTTGATTTCTCATTGGCGTATGATTTTAAGATTGCCAATACTTGTTTCAAGAAGAGAGATGAGCATCTCATCACCTACAAAAGTGGAGCCTCAAGGTCGCAGATTGATTTTCTTTTGGTTAGGAACACAGATAGAAAACTTTGTAAAAATTGTAAGGTGATCCCTGGAGATGCTGTAACGACACAACATAGGGTCCTAGTCCTTGATGTGTGTATTATGAGTAAAATCCAAAAACGTCGACAAGTAGTAACACCAAGGATTAGGTGGTGGCAATTAAAAGGTGAGAAGCAAGATATTTTCAAGCGAAATCTTTTGGATAAAGGAATTTGGGATTCTCAGGGAAGTGCTAACATCATATGGGAGGATATGGCTAAAAAGATACGGGAGGTTGCAAAAGTAGTTTTGGGAGAATCGAAAGGTCTTGGTCCGAGAGATAAGGAGTCTTGGTGGTGGAATAATAGTGTACAGGACAAAATCAAGTATAAGAAGAACTGTTTTAAAGCCATACATTTGTGTAACAATGAGGAAAATTGGGAGAGGTACCGTATGGCTAAGAAGGAAACTAAGAGAGCTGTGGGTGAAGCTCGTTCTAAAGCTTTTGAAGAATTTTATAAGAACCTTGAGACGAAGGAAGGAGAGCAAAATATTTATAAGATTGCCAAGAGTAGGGAAAGAAAATCAAGAGATCTAGAACAGGTAAGGTGTATTAAGGATGAAGAGGGAAGAATTTTAGTTACAGATGATGAAATTAAAAATAGATGGGAGACTTATTTTTCTAAACTTTTCAATGATGGAGAGGATTCATCTAGTAACTTGGAGGATTTAGTAATGGTGAAGGAGAACAAAATTTGTCATTCTATCGAAACATACGTGATAAGGAGGTAAAGGAAGCTCTTAAGAAAATGGCAAATGGTAGAGCTAACGGACCTGATTGTATATCTATCGAAGCGTGGAAATGTTTAGGTGAAGAAGGGGTGAGATGGTTAACTAAGTTATTTAATGTGATTTTACGGTCCAAGAAAATGCCTGATGAGTGGAGGAGAAGTACATTAATTCCTATTTATAAAAATAAAGGAGATATTCAGAATTGTACTAACTATAGAGGGATTAAACTCATGAGCCACACAATGAAATTGTGGGAGAAAGTAATTGAGCACAGGTTGAGATTGGAGACAAGTATTTCTGAGAATCAATTTGGTTTTATGCCAGGTAGATCAACTACAGAGGCGATTTATCTACTAAGGGGATTAATGGAAAAGTATCGTTGTAAAGATAAAGATCTACACATGGTTTTTATTGATTTGGAAAAAGCTTATGACCGTATACCAAGAGAAGTGCTTTGGAAAGCGTTGGAAAAAAAGGGAGTACGGATTGCTTATATTAAAGCCATACAAGATATGTATGAGGGGGTAAAAACTAGTATAAGAACGCCTAGTGGTCAAACAAAGGATTTTCCTATAAAGATTGGGCTACATCAGGGATCATCTCTGAGTCCTTATTTGTTCAACTTGATTTTAAATGTTTTGACGGAACATATTCAAGAGGAAATCCCGAAATGTATGCTCTTCGCGGATGATATAGTTCTTATAGCAGAGACAAGAGAAGAGGTTAATTGCAAACTTGAGTTATGGAGGAGGACATTGGAGTCGAAAGGTTTTCGTCTGAGTAGAAGTAAGACGGAATATTTATATTGTAAATTTGATAAAGGACTATTCGAAAATAATTTGGAAGTAAAATTGGGAGATCAAATTATACCTCAAGTGGAAAAGTTTAGATATTTGGGAGCCATTATCCAAAATGATGGCGAAATCAGTGGAGATATTTCACATAGAATTCAAGCTGGGTGGTTTAATTGGAGAAAAGCTAAAGGAGTTATTTGTGACCGTAAGGTGCCTAATAAACTTAAAGGAAAGTTTTATCGTACTGCTATCAGACCGGCAATGTTATATAGTAGTGAATGCTGGGCTCTAACGGGACAGCAAGAGCATAAAGTTGGAGTAGCAGAGATGAGAATGTTACGATGGATGTGCGGACATACACGTAAAGATAAAATTCGAAATGAGCACATACGTGAAAAAGTGAGGGTGGCACCTATTGAGGAAAAAATGGTAGAAAATCGGTTGAGATGGTTTGGGCATGTACAAAGAAGACCAAGGGAGGCACCAGTGAGAAGAGTGGAACATATAACTTTGAGTCCGATTAAGAGAGGTAGAGGAAGGCCTAAGAGAACACTCTTGGAAGTTGTTGAACGTGATCTCTTAATTAATAATATTTCTAAAAGCTTAATAAATGATAGAGCACAATGGCGTCTTGCAATCCATGTAGCCGACCCCACCTAGTGGGATAAAGGCTTGTTGTTGTTGTTGTTGTTTGACCTCCACTCCAAGAGCAAACACCACATGTCACAAATAGTCTATTCGAGGCTGCCCCAAAGAGCATTTCTTGGCATTTACAAAGGAGTGTTGCTGTAACAGATGAAAAACAGCCTGCAAATGCTTCAAATGTTGTTGAGGAGAGGAGCTCTATGCCAGAATGTCATCCAAAAAGATAAGAACAAATTTCCTCAAGTAAGGGTGGAATAAATCATTCGCAATTGCTTGGAATGTAGCTGGTGCATTAGTCAAGCCAAAACGCATGACCACAAACTCATAATGACCAGAATGCATGCCAAAAGCCATCTTATGAATGCCAGCAGGAAGCACACGAATTTGATGGTACCCAGAGCCTTAGTCAATTTTTGAAAAATAAGCTGCTCTATACAATTCATGTAACAACTCATCAATATTAGAAATGGGGTATTTATATGGTGCTGTTAGCTGATTAAGCTGGCAATAATCAATGAAAATAAGGCTTGCAAAAGGACTACTGCTAGGCTTGACAAAGCGATGTTGCAACAACTCCTCAACCTAAGCTTCAATTTCATCCTTTAGGTAATGAGGATATCAATAAGGACATAGACTAGGTGACCAAGCATTTGGAAGCAATGACATAGCATGCCAGTGATCACGAGGTTGCGACAGATCATTGGCTCGGAAAGAACATTAGTAGATTCATCAAAAATTCTGTCAACATTCAATAATCCAAACACATCAGCCTCCACCAATTCTTGGGTGATAAGCATGCTATGAAGGTGAACAAAAGTATCACTGTTTGTAGTTAAGCCTTGCAATTTGTATTTCTTCCCATTAAGCCAAAAGATCATAAACATTTTATTCCAATTGGCTTGCACTGTGTTCAAAGATGCCAACCATTTAATACCCAACACCAAGTCGAAGCCTCCTAAAGAGAAACGGTAGAAATCTTGTTGAATAATTGAATATGAAATTCTTACCTCAACCCTTAGGCAAACTTGGTGACATTTTATTCTACTGCCATTGTCGATCTGAACCCCAAAAGCAGGAACATTTCAAACAAGGAGTTGCAATTTGGATACCACTACCTCTAAGGTGAAATTATGGGTTGAAACTACTGCCAACTAGGATCAGCATGGGTCAACCATGAAGACTTTCGTGCAACTTCATTGTCGATGAAGAGTTTTGACCTAGTATAGTGTTGAATGAAATCGTGACATTTTTTGGCTCCATTAGTGTCTTGGCCTCCTCGTCCAGTGGTTTTTCCACTTCTTCACCTTTTTCAGCAATTTCTAAGAGGGAAAATGATGCTTTGCAATGATGCCTAGGCTTAAATAACTTGCCACGCCAAACACAGAGGCAGTTCTCTCTTCGAATGATGCTCTGCATCAATTTGGTTGGTTTTGGCCAAGATAAACACTTTTGAGTATGCATCTCCTAGGTTTCATGCATCTCGAGTAATGGGTTTTGGGCTAGATCAATGCATGTTTGGCTGTACGAGAGGTTGGGCTTAGGCCCATGTGAAATCTAGGCCTTCTCAAATACGTTCTGAATTTATCCAAGAAAATAAATCCAAAGCATCTCCCTCTAAACTTGTTGAAGCAACATCAACTTTCAAATTTTCCAATGTTTAATAATACTGAAAGTATTGTTCAGTCTCAAGAATCCAACCATGTGGGTCACCTCTGCTGAAATTTGAGAATTCAATTTTGGTGTGTGGTGGACGTAGGCCTCTTCTATAGCATGTGTCTACATCATCTTCATGCTCTTCTTCCCAATGAGAGTGTATGTGAGGACCCTCCATTGGTCTCTTGCCTTTATTGGTTGTTGAAGCCTCAAGTGCCTCTACCTTCTCTTTTATCTAGTCAAGTGTTTGAAGTTTGGAAGCAATGATAGCTAAATGGTCTATTGCAAACAAGTTTTCAGGGGAATCATTACGTGGTGGGTTGTTGGAGGAGTTGGTAGGGGGATCGGTGGTTTCATTTCTGGAGCAAGTGGATCACCATATCAACCGGATAGGGCTCTAATACCAAATTGTTAAACACATAGAACAGTAGGAATAAAGCAAACAAATCTATTAAGTTAACTAGAGCAAGAATCTCACCCTTAATGAACTCAATAGCAAAGTAGGAGAATCTCTAAGGGATAAAAGGTTATTTTATTTCTCCATGTGACTAGCCGTAATGAGAGGTAGCCTATTTATAAATTACATCAGAATAATAAATAAATTATCAGAAAATATCTGGGCAGACTCAAAACTGACTCACAACTGACTTAGACGTGGGTGAACCACTTAACAACTGTTGGTCTACTTATTTAGCTAACTGACACAGAGAAAATGCAACAAATAATCAGGAATTAATTCAAATCTGCATAACTGACTCTAACTTCCTCCTCTTTCTTCTCTGAAAAGTCAAAAGTGAAGGAGCATGCTGAGTCAGCGTGCTATCAAGTGAGGTCACAAAAAAACTCTGTAAGTTGACTCTATTTCCTAGCCTAACACTAAAACTCGTTTGACATAATTTGTCAATATGTTGCCTTCCACCGTAATTTGAAGAGATAAAATGGAAGACTTGGCAGCATGCACTTCACTAATAAATAGGGTGCAAACTAAAAGGGTTGGACTGTTTCTCTTTTTAATATTGTTTACACTATCAACAGCATTGTGTTATTTGCGGTTGTTTTCTTTGTGAGTGGAAACATTTAGTCAAAGTTAGCCACACCGTCTTGAGGGATGACTTGATTACATGATTTTCCCATTTGTTATGAATAGATACTCTCCCATTCATGGAAGTCAAAAGATAAGGTATGATTAAATCCATTTTATCAAAAATACCTCCAAATGGTTAAAATAACTCCTACTCAAAATTTTGCAATTTACAGGCTCACTCGTTTTTATTTTTATTTTCATAAGATTATAATCTATTTAGAAAGTAAATAAATACAAAAAACCAAAAATGTTTTAACAAAATATTTTTAAGTAAATTCAGCCAATCAAAAGATGTTATCTAAGCATATTTAGCATTTAATTTCAATAATAATATATTTACCGAATATATGATTAATTAGTTTAAGTACTATTATGATTACAAATGCAAATAATTTTTAGAACATATTTTTTCTTTTATTTTCTTGACAAAAGAAACCAATCTTGCCTTTGAGGTTCAGTCAAGCAAATGGTTTTAGAATTTTCAAGGAGATCAGTGCATATTTTTATGATAGAAAAGGATGTTGTGTAATTAAGTCCTCTCTTATAAAAGAGGAGAGTAATTTTACAGTGTAAAGTTACTGTAGCATGGATTGAAGTTATAGATTAATGGAGTTGATCGTTCAGGCAATGTAAGAATCTTGTGGCAAGAATTCATGTACATTGACTAGGTGGGTACTTCTCATTTCTTCATGTTTGTTGCATGTGAAATGCTCATTGGTAGTTGCTTGCAGGTGGTGACACTATGGTACAGAGCGCCAGAAATATTGCTTGGATCTCGCCAGTACTCTACCCCAGTTGATGTTTGGTCAGTAGGCTGTATATTTGCAGAGATGGTAAACCAGCGACCACTGTTTCCTGGGGACTCTGAGATTGATGAGATTTTTAAAATATTCGGGTAAACAGTTTTTTTGGTGAATTCTTCACATTCTTTATTGTGACCATCTGTTTGCTAAGAACTTGGTAATTGATGCCTTCTAACTTTGGATGGCCATGCGGTATTCACAGTAGTACCTCAATAATCTGTAAATCTTGAACACACTTATTTCAGGAATCTCCCTTTTGTTTAATGTTCTCAAATAATCATAGGGTAATAGTATTCTCTCAATCACACAGAATCTCCCTTAACCTGGCTAAATGAAAGATTGACTCCATCTAAATGTGAGCCTTAATTGGAAACTTTCCTAATGGAACTAGCGGGTGTTGGGCACAGGGTTAACTTCCCATCATGTTAAAGAACATGAGGTATATGCAAATGGCTCTCAGTTGAAAATTGAAAGGAGGTATTTGATTTTGTAGTGTTCGTAATCGCTTACCTTGAGAATTATACATCCCAAATTTGAAGACTTGCATGATTTTTCTCTTCGGGGCTGTTGCCTAGATGGATGGTCTGAGGTCACACTCAGTTTATGTCTGACTGAGATCTTCCTGGTGATGGAGGTCGTCTTGGGCCAAAGCATAGGACGTCTACGTCAGCCCAAAAGATAAAGAAGGAATTAGAAAAGAAAAAAGTTAGTTCGATGTTTTGTAGCGATTGATAGAGTGCCAAGGAAATTGAGTCGTGTTACCCAATTTGTTTTCTGTACATTCACAAGTGTCTTTATTCTTTGTCTTCCCAGGGGCCAGGAATTTGATTGTAAAATTTGTGTTTCAGCTGCATGCTAAGATGAAGCAGAATTATTAGAATTTGTAAAATAATTACTTTGCTCTGGGTTGAAATTTATATTCCTATATTCGCATAACTTTTAAGTGGTTATTAATTGATATAACTTGCATAACATAACATTCTGACATTCAGGGATTTTTATGAGCTATCAGTATTAGTTTGAATGCTATTCCTTTTCAGCTTCCCTCTTAAATTGTCTGACTAAAGAGGAGGGAAATGTAGGTTGGCATTTGTAGGATTGGTAATATAATATTTACTTTCATATAAAAACTAATTAATATTACTATATTTGAAGTATGAAATGGCTGGAAACCATTCAGAGAAATTTCGCACCCCATGTGCATATTATACAAATTTTACACATTTCTGAATCAACATATTATTGCTTATATGAAGGACCATGGGTACGCCAAATGAGGATACATGGCCTGGAGTGAATTCTTTGCCTGATTTTAAATCAACCTTTCCGAGGTGGACTCCAAAGGTAATTAATTGTGTGTTGCTGTTGTTTTAAGTTACATAAGCACGGGTTCTTAGTATCTGCATTGTTAACAAGCAGTAAGGATTATTTAACTTCTTTTTGTCCTTTGCAGGACCTGGCAACTGTGGTTCCGAATCTTGAGCCAGCTGGCATCGATCTTCTTTCTGTAAGTGCATCATTCAAATATAGTAATTCTGGGAATGAAAATGAAACCAAATGTTTTGTAATGTCATGATTGAAACCGAAGCGGATTTGCATGTCCCCGCATAGGTTGTAAGATACATGTGCGTCTAACAAAATTTTTTTTTTACCATCCATCTGGCAGGCCACTCATGCCTTATTATATGTTCTTGTTCAATCCATATTTTGCATTCAGCATCCTTTTGTTTCTCCTTACACAAGTTTCACTCAAATATGATATAAACACGAAATTGTTATATTTGTCCTTTAAAGTACATCCGTTGAGCTTTGTCTACCAATTATTTAAATGCGTGAAATGCATTCCAGAGTATGCTTTGCTTGGATCCCAGCAGAAGAATTACAGCCAGGAACGCTCTTGAGCATGAGTACTTCAAAGACATTAGATTTGTAGTCTGATCCCTTGTCTTCATGGCAAACATGTCTATAGAATCATAGCATAAGTAAAGATTGTATGGGTTTTGATTATTCCTTGCTTCTTTCTTTAGGGATTGAACTTTGTTATAGTTCATGCATTTACTCTTACAGTTTTACATTCAACTGAGTGCTACCATATTGTCTACCTCATGTCTGGGGATTACACATTTGAGGCAAATTTCGTGTTTGCTTGATTGTGGATAGTTCGACATGACCCCAGGGGACATTCAAGTTCTGTTATGGTGCTTTTTGCTCTCCTCTATTGCCCATCTCCTTCACCTATTTATTTCCCCTTGGTATTTTGGCGATAACGTTCATTTCAGTTTAAATATGCTTTTGATTTCTCTAGTTAGTTAGATCCCAAAAGTCCAATTTAATGACAAGGTCTTGTATCACTTTATTAAAAGATAAGTTGCAAATATTGATGTGGATGGTTGCAAGTACAAGATTCTCAGCTGCAAATCATTAAGAATGATTTATGGGATTCAAATATTTAATTTGCAATTAAGATTTTCGTATTTTTAATTATGAATTAACATTCATAACTAATTTTTCGCAATTATTAAATGCCATTAAATTTAAGATCAAAACTCTGAATTAAAAAAAAAATCCCTCACCAAAACTGTGAATATTGTGAATATGATTTGAACGAGTTAATGGGGTTAAGTAAATTGGTAATTGCAACAACAAACTGTTAGAATTAGTATTAAGTTTTGGATGGAGTGAGAAAAGAACAAAATTGAATTATTAATATTTTTAAAATAAGAATAATTGAAAAAATGGAGAAAAAAATTTCTGAAGTCGGAGATATCAGAAGTGTAATTAAATCATTAATCAAAACGTAGCATCATGGATCATTGATGTTGAAATGGAATTTTTCTTTTCGAGTAAATGGTCAGGTAAAAAGAAAAATTACAACAAAAAGGAATGACACTTATTGACCAGATAAACTTTGAAGGAATTAAATTGAAAAACTTGACAGACAATTGAAAAGGGATTAAACCTTCAAGAACAAAATTACTAATTTACCCTTTTATCAATTAATCTAATCAAAACCTTCCATTAAGTATTCATGAAAATGCTATTGATTGTATACAAAAAGAAGGGAAAAGATTAACTTACAAATCAGATATCGCGTTGCACATTCTTTTCTCAAAACTATTCCTATCTAACATTTTGAGCTTAATCATTTTAGTGGATGAACCTATGGCAATTTTAATAGAGTTTCGTCAAAGGTAACTCTTAAGAGAATAAATAAAATTATTTCTTGCAAAATTTATCATCATAGAGTATTCAAAATCACCCAGAGGAAAACAAATATTTTCCAAGTCTTAGAGAACCAATGGAAATATAACAAAACGATTACTTGGATAGTCATCAAATTTTTGGAGATACCATCTATGTGTTTCCACAGCTGCAAATACCAAATTTGCCACCTGAATTTCAACCAAAACACACGCATGTGCACACGCGCAATATTAGCAAATTAGAATCAGAGGATCATTTGTTTAAAATATTAAATCTTGCAACAGCTGTAAAGAAAATATTACCACGAAAATAAACAGTAGCCAAATTGTAAGGTTTGTTCCTCCACTTGCAACCACAAGACCAGCGTATATAACCTAGACCAATATAATCAGTATCTGACACACAAAAGGAAATAGGACACTAGGGATAGGATGTTACAATTTCAGAGAGATAGTGTGGTGAGGAAACATGTTCAAACCAATCACCATGAGGGATAACATATCCATCTACTTGTTTTGAATGTTTCCGTAGGGAGCCCTGACCAAATTTCAAGTCCTTCAAAATTAATAAAATTATATATTGAATAGAAAAACAACTCAAGCAACAAGAGGATTCTTCAAGAAAAGAATGTTACATACAGGATATCCTAAAAAAATATATCTACTCAGTTATATGCAAATGTAAATCGCTAAAATTGCAAAACCATAAGCTTAGGAAATGTCAAATAATTCATGTGCATCCTTTGCACATATAATTTCATCCCCTTGTATGATACATACAAATTATATACTAAAAAAAAAAACCATCCATAACTTTAATTTCTTTGACCAATTTCATTGTCTACTGCAACTTACTACCATGAGTACATAGATACCAGTGAAATGAAAGAGATGATCGTTAACAAGAAACAATAGGATTTGAAAAGAGATCAAAAAATAAAATGAATGGTCACGAAATTTGATTTCAGCGTCCAAGATCCCAAAATTTAAAACTCAATCAAGTAGAAAGATACATACAAGAATTGCATGGCAACGGTATTGATGAATCCAACCCCATAAAAATATAATTGCACCAACCCATGGCAGCCATCCAAGTCTGAGGAGATGATTTAAAACTTGCCAGAAATCTAATTCAGTTCCCAACATGTGACCTTTGCCTTTGACAATGGATGCAGTTACCAACTTTGCTGTGAAGTCATACACCTCTAATGTACAATCACAACAAAGCGATAGCGGAGCTGCTATGTAGAAACTAGCTTCAGAAAAGTTATATAATCAATAATATTTACTTTACAATTTTCTAAGAACAAAATAACTACCAAAAGCATGGGACAGGCAGCAATTCTTAAATGAAATTTTATTGGCTAGCACATATAAAGAAGAATTGAAATTTCACCAACCAAAAAGAGCTTGAAATTGAGTTTCAAAATAAATATTCACTAGTGATAGCCGACCCCACCTAATGGGATAAAGGCTTGTTGTTGTTGTTGTTGTTGTTGTTGTTGTTGTTGTTGTTGTTGTGTTAGCACTTTATATGAATTTGAATCCCTTCAGTTACTTTTGAAAATTGACAATGTCAATATGAGATAAAGACACAAAATGCATCATCCACTACTCAAGTGGATCACATGCATTCAACTTCTTTTCTTCATATTCGAAGATTAACAGAAAAAATCTACAGATATAGCTTATCTCAGTATAAAGGAGACTCTCTAAAGCTGAATATCCTAACAACAAAATAAATAATAAATCATAACATCCTCGATAAAAAAAATAAAATAAAATAAAGAGAAATACAATAAATATTTAAGATATCTAACAACAGAGTTCAATGCATCAGGATAGATCCCGTATTTCAATATTTCACATCATTGGCATTCAAATATAGAGCTGAAGATTATTATCTTTATCTCATGTCTAAAAGTATATTAATCATAAGAATAACTATGAGGAAGACCGTCTTAACAACTTTTCATTGAGAGAAACAAGGATGTCACATAATATTTCCGATGTGAACGCTGAAAAATATCATTCAGAGGAGATTTTGACAAATTTATGGGATGGATTATTATGAATTCAGATCAGAACATTCCACAACCATTAACAATTTCTGACTTTTTCAATCTATGGCATAATTGTAGTTATCATTTAGATAAAACTTTGACATTGTTATCAGATTCTTTATTATAAATCAAATCAGTACTTCCCATAACCATTAACAATTACCGAATATTTTTCAATCTACAGCATAACCATAAATAAGTATAAAATATGCATAACATTTAATTTCAGAAACCACACATTCATGTTAGACATGGTACAAGCATACAAAATATCACACAGCCAGTTTTACTTCAAACTATTATGACAGCAACCAAGGACTTCAAAATTATAAAAAGAACTTGGAAAAATGCACAACCAGAAATGCAATGTTCAGAGGAAAGTAAGCCCTAAAAGTTAGAGTAGTTAAGTGATTAAAAAAATAGAAAAGACTCTTGGAAAATCAAGTAGAATAAAACCCCATGAAGAAACTTACAACAATCCAGTGAAATAACCCATGATATGCATGCGAGCTGAGGGGCTATAATGGAATACATATTTTGTTTCGTAAAGGCGTCTTAGGACTTGAACTTCCATGAGCAAAAGAAGAAAAACAGATTGCCAGACTACACATCTGGGTCCTATTTTAGTTGAATCAGCTTCCATGCTTAAATCTCCAGTCAAGTAGCTGGTAATGGTCGAGAAAGCATATGGATCTGCAATTAATGGTGCCATTGTGCATGTGGATATCCAAGTTGCAAAAAGTAGGAATGTTGTCCACAATGAAGCCACAATATAGAAGTGCAAGAATAATCTTTGAGAAACAGTGAATTTCTGCAATTGAACATTGTATCAGATAATAAATTCTTAATTCCTTTTTCCTTCTTTAATATTCACATGAGTTGTGAATTCACATACTATCAAAAATTACAAAATTATGTAAAATATAAACTCCTCAAATGTACTTATGGAAGTATGGAAAGTGGCACATGATACATCACAAAAAATATTAGCAGTCCTCATTGTAATTCAAAGTATTATGTATAGTCTAATATAAGTGTCCAACATGTGTCAGATAAGGACACACCACATTCTTTGAAGGGCCTATATTTCATAACCCATAAGCATGACGAAAAATTTTTCTAAGTAATGTTTGAGAGGACAGAAATGGGGAAAAATCTGTTGTTTTGATGGTTAAAATAAAGGCAATGGAGTGTGGTATGAGCTCCAAATACCTTCACTTCAGTCCACACTCCTAATTTCTGAATGTCTCCAAATAGGAGTATTTTGATCATTTGGCTCCCGTTGATTTTCTTCAACCAATGTTTTGCCATTATTTTTGCTTTGAGAAAAGTAAAATTGGAAGTCTATGCTAAGAGACCCTTTCTACTTCATTAATGGCCCTGTCACACACCATGACCAATCAATACACTCTTCAAAATTCCCCACCAAAACTGTAAGCTATGATCCAAACATGCCTTGTAATATTATAACGATCTCTCTTCTTTTTCTTCTTGTTTTTTTTTTTTTGGGGGGTAGGGGGGTGGGGGACACTTCGTTTTGTCATATATTCAAATTTTTCAGCGACTTTTTAGCATTCTAACCAGGGAAAGCATATGCTTGCACCAAAAACATACATGCTCAATTGAAAATTTTGAACAAATATATATCCAAGTTACAACGTTGTTTCCTTACTTGTGAGGATGACTGCATGATCTTCCCCCTCTTAGCCAACCCTAAGAGGGTTCCACGAAACCAATTCAGCTTAGAAGTCGGAAGAGAAGCAATGATTATGGGCAATGTTCCCGCAGCCCAAGCAAATCTCAGCAACAGAACAATACAAATCCCCATCATTGCAATAACCTATCAAAATACGAAGTCAGAGAAGCGGGAAAAAGTTCAAGAAAGCTTCAAATTTTTTATCATTCAATGATCACCACCGTTTCTGAGAATAGATGTTTGAATGGTTCATAGAGTATGCATGTGAGCTGCTAGTGTAAACAAGAAATCAACATCGAGAAATCACAGGAATCACCATACAATTCTTAACACTTTTAATTGACGAAAAGATAGGGAGGAACAGCTGCAAAAGAAACTCACTTGGGAATGGCTCTGTGAGGTGGGAGACAGCAATAAAGATGGACGGAAAAGATAGCGAAAGGGATGAAATAACGTCTCTCGCTAAGGATTTGAGAACCGAAGTGATGGCTTCGACGGCGGGGTCGGACGACGAGTTGGCTGAAGGAAGTTAGCCGGCAACGTTTATCGGAGAATCACTGTAGTGTAGAGTCCCGCACAGCACTTCTATACTTGTTTATTTCAATTTACAAAAAAAACCATGTTTTTTTTTAAAGTTAAAATATACAAAAATTTCTTGAAACTTTAATAATATCCCTGATATTTTAAAATCTAATATTAAGTTTTTTTCCTAACATTAATTTATTTTAACCTTTGATTTTTTATTATAAAACCATTTCCTTTAACTTTTTTTATTGTACACTTATGTTTATTTTTTATTTATTTGTTTATTATAAATGAGATTGAATATAAAATTATCAAAATGATGCCATGAGTCCTCTAAATTAATCAGAATTTGAAGTGACAATTTGGTTCTAGGAAAAAATATATATCAATTCACAATTGTCACCAATGACCTCTTCTCATAAATATAAAGTTTAACTAAAATCTCTAATTTTATTATTAGAAATTTGACTAGTTGGAATATTGTTATTTGGAACAAGCCTTTTATCATGAAGTTATATAGTTTAGAAACTGCCTCTAACTATCAACTTGTCAAGAGAGTCTTTACAAATCTTACTGCCATTAGCGACATCAACAATACCTCTATCACCCTTATTCCTAAAAATGAAAACCCTAATTGCATGAAAGATTTTCACCCTATATCCCTTTGCAATGTTAGCTACAGAGTTATCACCAAAATCCTCTCCAATAGGCTGAGACAATATATGAATCATCTTATTGGAGACCACCAATGTAGCTTTTTATAGGGAAGGCAAAGTAGCGACAATATTATCATCACACAAAAGATCATTCACTCTATGAGAAACAAAGCTGGGGAAAAGGGTTTCATGGCCCTCAAAATCGACCTTGAAAAGGTTTTTGACAAACTCTCTTAGAATTTTATCAAAGAAACTCTGGATATTATTGGGATCAATGAGAATTTCAGGAAGCTTATCATGACAGATATTTCTACCACTCAGTATGAGAATCCTTTAGAAGGGAGAACCAACAAGCGAATTTCTTCTAACACGTGACATTAGACAAGGGGATCCTCTCTCACCTTATCTCTTTATCCTTTGTATTGAATGCTTAAGCCATAGCATTCTTAGTAGCATTGAGAAGAATGACTAGAAACCAATTAAACTTACTACTAATGGACCTTCAATTTCCCATTTATTTTTTGCTGATGATTTGTTTCTCTTTGTAAATTTTTCCCTCACTCAAGCAATGACCATCTAATGATGTTTGTTCAATTTTTGTGAAGCTTCAGGATAGAAAGTCAACAATGTCAAATTAAAACTGTTCTGCTCCAAAAATGTCAACATCAATAGGGCCATTCAAGTCAGTGAAGAATTAGGAATCCCTTTGACTGGAAACCTTGTCAAATATTTAGGGATTCCAATTATTCACGAGAGAGTCTCTAAACTCACTTTTACTCATCTACTTGATAAAATCAATTCACGCGTGTCCAACTGGAAAAGTCATTATCTTAACATAGTTGGAAAATCTGTTTTTATAAAGTCTGAATCTACGATTCCTAACTATGCCATGCAGACCATGTACTTGTAATATTCTCACTCCACTAAACCCTATTAACTAATAAAACTCATAATAATCAAAATATTAACCTAAAGAGTGATTATCAAGGTTTAATTAAAAAGTAAGGAATCTCAAGTTTTCTAAATAACAATGAGTTTAAATTAATCAAAATCCTTCATATCAGAGTAAAATAAATTTGAGAAGCATGAGATACCTCAAAGGAGTGAAAGAAGTCAGTTGAAAAACAAAACATGTGCTATAATATAGGGCAATGCACCGCGACTCGTGCATGTTGCGTTGCGGCATGTTGCTCTCTGTGCCATGCATCGCGGCGTGTTGCACAAAAATTCAACTGATTCTGCTGCCATTTGACAGTAGAATTAGGAAACTTTTGATGCGCCCCGATTCTCCGTCCAACATCTGAATGACATGATCTAAATGTCCACAAAAAGCTCTTTACAAGAACTAGCTAATGGCATAGGTTTGACTTCCAAAACAAGTCACACTATGAAATTGGATACCCAAATACATTTTAACCACTTTTCAACATTTTCACATGAAATGGGTGTTCAAAACCCTCAACATATACCAAAAGCCTTCCCTAACACCTGGTATCGCACCCAGAAAATACGACATAGACGGCGCGCGAGCAAAGGTTCCAACCTTTGAGGCGAGGACCGAATGAACGAGGAGTCGCCACCAAGATTTTGAGGTAAATCCTAAGAAACCGTTTAAAGGAGGGTAAGGATGGTTTGCAAAATCAGAGAATAAGTTCGGGAGTCGGTTGAGTGTGAGAAAGGTATTAGGCACCCCACAATACCCGTTCGTCAGAATGGTTACCTCAAGTTTGTTGTGTTATATTAATATAGTTTTAAAATTATTTTAATTATCCTTTTTATATTCGTATGTTTGATATAAAAATGATAAGAATTAAGTGAGAAATATTTATTTATTTATGAGGGAGGAATTGACTCAGAATTTAACTCTGAGGCCTACGTACCCTGTGATGGGGATCAAAGTCCACGTAGTTCGGGCTTAAAAGTTGTCGGTGAAAATATTTTTTAAAAAAAATTAATTAAAAATAATTCACCATTTTGCAAATAAAACAATTTTTAAAATTTTGATATGTGTGTTTTAAATTGTAAAAAGTAATTTAATTTCAATTAATTTCTCAATTTTTAAATTTTTGGAATAAAGAAAGAAAATAGTTTATAATTATTATTTTTTATGTTTATGATTAGGAATTTAATTGCTATACCTGCAGAGCCTTATTGGCTCATACAATAATGCAATCATTCTAAATATATGTGGAGATTCCAAAATCTCACACAATAAAAGAGTTTAACAACTTAATTTATTTTTTAAGCATATATATGTTTTTAAAAAATTTTAATCATCATACACACAAAGTCTTATTACTTATATGGTAATATGAGTATCCTAAATCTCTGCATAGATTCCAAAATCTCACATGATAAAAGAATTAAATTTATTTAAATAAATTTTTAATTTAATTAATTTTAATATATATAATTTATATATATATATATATTTAAAAAAAACTTAATCGTTATATCTGCAGAGTTTTATTGACTCATACGATAATACGATGATCTTAGAAGTCTACGGAGATTCAAAAATCTCACTTGACTAAAAGATATAATCAATAAATGTGGTTACAATTTAAATACATTAAATTAGTTAATTAATTTTCTTAAATTGTGTATTATATGATTATTTATAAAAATCACTTATTTACTATAGAGATTAAGAATCACTATATTTGCGAGGACTTATTATCTCACATAATAATGTGATTAATTTAAGTCTCTATGAAGATTCTTGAAATCTCACATGAGACTTAAATAAATTATTAATTTGGATTATAAAAAAGAGTTAATTTTAATGGTGGGCCTTTACAACCCATATTAACATATAAGTTTTGCTCTCATATCTACAAAATCTTATTGATTTACATGATACAAGATTATCCTAAATATCTGTAAAGATTCAAAGTCTCATACGATAAAAGGATTAAATAATATTTACTTTAAATATATTTTAATACGTAATTATGCAACGCATATTTTTAAATATAAAAATCTTAATCATTATACCTGTGAAGCCTTATTGACTCACACGGTAGTACGATTATCCTAAATGTCTACGGAGTTTTAAAAATCTCATATGACCAAAAGATCTAATTAGAAAATGTGATTATCATTCAAATTTATTAATTTAATTAATTAAAATCATAAAAAAATTATTTATTATTTTATTTACAAAAATTTATTTATGTATTTACCATATAAATTGTAAATCACAATATCTATGAGGATTTGTTATCTTACACAATAAGGTAATTAATTTAATTCTCTACGAAAACTCTTAAAATTTCACGTGAGACTTAAATATTTATTATAAAAAGAAAATTAATTTTAATAATGGGCCTTTGGAACCCATATTAATATATACAAGATTGATCCTCATACCTGTGAAATCTTATTGATTTACACTATAGAGGATCATTCTAAATGCCTATAGAGATTCTTAAAATTTCACACAACAAATAAGTAATTAAGATATTTGCATTTGCAGGCAGTGTATAATATGAATTTAGCATTCAAAGCAACACAGAAAGAAACTATTTTGACACTCCACCCTTTCTTTTGACTTAAGGATGTATTATTCAAGGTTTTCAAATTGGCTTAATGCTCTGATATGATTTTTTGAAAGGAAATAATGAGAGTCTTGGTTGTAGCATTTGATAATTAGAATAAATAGGATTCACATATCATCACCATCATTAATCACTCAATTTATTTTCCGTAGAAATCAAAATTAAGTTGATGTCTTAAAATTATTTATGAATAAACAATAGTCTCATATTAGACATATGCATACACTTAATTTTTCCAAAATAATATGATCATTTGAATGAATAAAGCAAGCACATGAAATTTTTGAAAGAACTATAAGATTTTAAACAAGAAAGAGCTAAATCAAAGCCATGACCAAGTTATGTGTGTAAAAGATGACTATAAAGAATGGAACAAAATTATACCTGACATTACGCATCAATCTCACTCTTCTTGTACTCTTGGCAAAATGTTGCTCTTTTCTCTTTAGCATCCACTACAAGACCTTCGATATAGTTTGTCGATGACTCTGTCATAACTGGAATGATATCACTTGACAGTAGTGCACCTCTGACCATGGTATGAGAAGCCTTCTTTTATAATGTTTGAAGCTACCCAGTTTTTTAGGCAAGTCATGCCTTCCTCGGACATTGGTTGCAATTAGGGGTCCTTACTTTGTTGCTCTAATGGTGATGGATAAACAGCATGGCAAGCAACTCTAGAATAATAAGGATGTGACTGAACAAAGATGGGGTCTTGTTGTCTGAAGGGCTCCGAAAGAAAGTCAAGAGAATGGTCTCTATAGGATTAAGTTTGTGCAGCCTCGTTGCCATAGTAGATGCTATCAAGGCTCAAAGCCATTGCATCAT